CACTTTTAGAACACTATATGTAAACGAAAAAACAGTTTAAAGCAATTTTATAAATAATTTTTATAAGCAATTTTTTAAATATTTGATATTTTTACTTCGTACGATTTTGTGACGTAAAGTACACACTGGGTAAAACTAACCCGAATCCTAGCTTCCGATGCTCGCCCGTCAACTCCTGCGCGTGGAATAAACGCATCCAGCGGAGGAATGGAAGTTGGGACTACAAACTTCCCCCGCCCCCTGGTCCCAGTTCCCTCCCCCATCGCATTCCGAGACGCTGCACTTTTGAGAAACTGCCTGGGTTACGCTAATCCAGTGTGTACCATGAGGGTTAATTATGCTATGCGTTTCGTCCGAGTAGATAAAGTAGTCATTTCGCATGACTCCCGAAACCAACAAGCATCTTTTTAAAGATACCCGTCAAGAAATAAAAATAAAAATTAATTGGCGTCTCGCGCAGCGCCGTTTCTGCTGCGCACACATGTTTCTTCATTTGTGTTGCTTGTTTTCCCGAACAATAGCATCGTATGCCGCTGCTCTTCAGGAATGTGGGAAAGCATTTTCATCCCAAGTCTCGAAAACGTTCTCGCGGACGTTCTTCGGACGACAGTTCGCCAGCCAGCGATTCATCACACGGATATACAAGTACCAAATTCTCCAAGTTGAAGCGTCCACGTGGGGAATCCTGCGGGCATCGACACCACTCTACCAGCATCGCCTCTTGTTCTTCGTTGCGTCCACCACCTAGTTTCTTGGAAGAAATGCTCTCCTCAATTTGTTGTCACACTCGGGCACAACCCAGACAAATCGGTCGGAAGTCGATCGTGACGAACCTAACATCTGCGCCGATATGGTCGCTCAAGACGGGGACGCCTTTGATCTTGATTCTATGTTTGACGACAAGGAGAATCCTAACACTGGAGGTGAGCCTGAGTTGATGTCTTGAGGCTGTCCTTTGAGACAGGCCCAAGGATATCAAGTTTGAACGAAGAATCATTATCTAGAGTTTGGTCGTGTCCGTTGATCTTTCTCAGCGTGGCTGTCCTTCGAGGCATTCCCTGAGCCACATCTCTCATACACTTACGGATTACGTATCAATGGCTCTATGTATTTTCTACAACTTTCCCTAGCACTTTCGAGATGCATTATCTCTGACGCTCATATGATTTTCAATGATAATCCAGCACAACGACGTAAAGGAGATAGCTCGACCCTCGTTTGCCTTCGCAGAAATTCTTCTCGACCAGGACGTCCCTTGAACAGGATGAAGTTACTGCATTTAAGAGAGAATTGTTAGGCGGATTCAGCCACGAGTCTTCCAGTTCACGAGCTCATACCTAAGACATGATCAACTATCTTCGCCAACGGCCTCTCGAAAGACGCGAGTCTAGCTTTGCGAAAAAAATATGCGACTCCTCAAAATTTACCTCTCGCAAAAGTGCCTGTTCTTAATATCGAGGTACGTCGCGCCTATTATAGTTGTTCGTCGAGATATTTATCAAGTCGCCACTCAAAGTGTTGTCGAGGCCGCCGTGGCAGCGCAGGCGTATCTTCTCTCGGAGTTATTGAAGCCGGAGAATCAGTGGAACGCTAAACGTGTTTTTGAGATTGCAAGCGATGCGGGACGTCTAATGTCTCAAGTTCAACATCATATATCTAAGGCTCGGCGTGGTCTCATCATGTCTCATCGGAACGCTCTTGATGTCTCGTCGATTGATAATCAACTTTTCAGAGAGCCATATCTCACAAAAATGAAAGATTGATGTTGATGATGTTCGGAGAGCGGCAGGCTGGTCGTCATCCTCCTCAACTTTTGCGAATTTTTATTACCGCCCAGTATTTCCTTCGACTAATGTTGCCGACGCTATTATTCTAAATCGATAATTCTCTGTAACTGCGTAACCGACTTCTGTTTTATAAATATTCCATTGCGTTATACTGCGTTCTCTTCGTTTGATACGCTATGTTTCATGGTTTTATGTTCCAACCTATGTGTGGTTTTCTTTTCGTTTGTGCTCTTGCTGCCTTCTCCACGTGTAGTATATTTCTGTTTCCCGTGATGTTTCTCTGTTCCCAGAAAATACAATCTTCCAGTCACAAATCGTGGCTTTGAACAGCTACTTTATCTACTCGGACGAAACGCGTAGCATAATTGTGTGATCAAACGAACTCCGGAGTGAAGTTCGATCACAATTATGTGTATGCTTTCGTCCGAGTAGAGTCACCCTCCCCTTCTTTGGCATTAAGTTAGATTTTCCCTCCCATTTTCGATTTGTGACGGCTTTAAACTATGAAGAAACATGCGCGAGACGCCAATTCGTTTTTTTTTCTTGGCGGGTGTCTTTAAAAAGATGCTTGTTGGTTTCGGGAGTCATGCGACATGATTACTTTATCTACTCAAACGAAAGCATACACATTATTGTGATCGAACTTCACTCCGGAGTTTGTTTGGTCACACAATTTCTACTGCTTACGTTTTTTTTGCCTGTTCCCGGCCCTACCGTTGTGACTCATTTCACTCATCATTTGTCATTTTAACAAACATACGTAGTCTAAGATAAGAAGATCGCGTTTGTTCTCGTCTATTTAGGTTAAGTCAGTTATGTCTCCGTTGCAGAAATCGCTTAGATCAACGAATTGAAAGAAACAAATCACTTGTTCTCACTACAGAGTCGTCCGCTATCCCATGTTAACAAGCCGTTTGTCGCAAGTGCTGGTAAATTGGCAAATTGGTTTGTTAAATTGGCAAATTGCTTTGTTAAATTAGCAAAAATTGTTCTCTCAGTGTAGAACATCGCGCGACACCGTATCGCTCGTAAATGCCGTGGTGCGCGCGATTATGAATGACCAATGAGAAGGTTAAACCGGAGCGTGGACATCGCAAATGTTAAAGGAAGAAATATTTTTCCGCGCACGACGAGAGGCTCGACTGAGGGATTCTTCCGCTTTTTTGCAGGAAAAGAGAAGAGAGCCGAAGACCCGCGGATGGTTTAGATAAGAGCCGCAATACAAATAAACTAGCGTCCGCAGCTCCCGACCTGGCCGACCAGAACTCTCTCTCTTTCTCTTTCTCTCTCTTGCTAGCCTCTCCCTTGATCCTTTTATCTTTTAATTACGCGGATTATGCTAGCAGCTAAATTCTCCACCCGCGCCTCTGGCTTAAACCCAATTTTCCCTACGCTCGCGCGATTCAATACGGCGATTGTCTGACACTCGGCGAGAGGGCCTGTTCCAAACCCCTAAACGCGCCAAAAAGGGAGAGAGCGCTCAGAAAAAGCTGCGCGTACCTCATTTTCGGCCGTTCCGCCGCGACGTATCATAACTTGCGATGTCCACGCTCCGGTTTAACCTTCTCATTGGTCATTCATAATCGCGCGCACCACGGCATTTACGAGCGATACGGTGTCGCGCGATGTTCTACACTGAGAGAACAATTTTTGCTAATTTAACAAAGCAATTTGCCAATTTAACAAACCAATTTGCCAATTTACCAGCACTTGCGACAAACGGCTTGTTAACATGGGATAGCGGACGACTCTGTAGTGAGAACAAGTGGAACTCGTCTAAGTCAGCGGGAGTCACGTGGACTCACTTCTCGTAGTAAATATACGAGATATATCCGAGAGAAAGTCCGTGTATGACATACGACGTTATTGTCTCTGATGGTTGCCGGTGAATTTGCCAAAGAACACTAAAAGCCGACTCTCTCTCGTCGTCGAACCGATAAATTACTGTCGCGAAAGTAACAATGTCTGGCCAAGGGAAAAGAGAATACGGTAAATGCTAAGGGAAAGAGAAAGATCGAGAAAGAGAGAGAGAGATACGCGCAAATCTCGGGAGAGTTCGTGGAAGTGTTCCGTGTGCCTCTACGTGGTCGATATATCCGAAAAGCTTTGGGCCGTGGGAAACACAGTGATTCCCAGTTCTCGAGAAGAGCGGCAGTCCACCTGGATACCGTGATCGTTACGGTGCATCTGAATGCAGACTCCCGGTGCGGGAGAGTGTCCGTCTCGAGTCCTTTCGCGTCTCCATCGTGTATACAGCCGGCGAGCGAACGGAGCGAACGGAGCTTGCCCCTCGTGCGAATTGAAAGTGCTGAAAGTCCCGCTGAGGCGAATTGCCAATTGCTTCGTCGCTTCCAGCCGGGCTTACTGCTACGGCACCGAATTGAAAATACCGTACCGTACTCCCTCTCTTTCTCCCCCTCCCCTCTCTCTTTCTTTCTCTTGAGAACGAACAAACGAACCGTTTGCCGCGAGATAAGACTACGGGATTCACTCTAACCGTGTGTATGTATGTGTGTATGTGTATATATGTATATATACATACGTACATGTACAGGTCGCGCGTATATATATGTACAGAGACGCGGGATTTGCCTCGAGGAGGTAGATATGCGTTAATCCGTCAAAAGTTTCATTAATCTGCTCGAGGTACTACTCGTGGGTTCCGGATCGAGATTGATCGCGCTGAGAGACCAATTCCCTCGGTCCACTTTGGTCTCTCACGAGTTTGCTCATTCGCGCGAACAGATATTCCCGGTTACTTACGCCAGATAGACAGGTGTACGTAAATTTAGCAGCAATCTTATACTAGTCGATCTGGAAGGGTCGCATGCGAATGGTTCATATGTCGCTCGTATTTATCAAATACGTGAAGAAAATATTGTAGCAAAAATTACAACAAAATTTTCGTAATCTTGAACCATACAAGATTGTGACCGAAAAATTACTACATGTCTGTTTAAAAATATTATTGACATGTTCGATTACAGAATTATTGTAACCACTTAGGTGTTTCTTTTGTATCGTATGTCGTAGATGGGTTGTTAAATTTATTATTTCTACAATAATTTATGTTGCAATATTAATATAGTATAGTTTTTTTTATAAAAAGCAGTATAAAAAAATACTTTACCGTAATAAAAAGTAACTTTAATGTAATTTTCGCTACAATATTTTCTCTGTCCGGAGTGTCGACACAGAAATAAAATGATGAAAATAATGTCACATAAAATATAATATGAGAACTTGAATATAACTTTCAGTACATTTGTTTATCAATGCAACAAGAAAATTACATCACTGCACATCATGTTAATTCAATGCTTAATACGGTACATTTGTTTCAGAAACGTAATTAAAAAATTTGTAAAGTTTCCACCATCGAGACTGTCTTATCGTCGTGACATTCATGAAAGTCTATCTGGGTACATCGATCGAAAGAGTCACACTCTCCCCCTTTCTCGGAGTGAAATGTCACTGGAAAAGTCGAGTGACCATCGAGCCACTCGAATTTGAATGATTTTTCACTCATACATAGTGAATCCTCCGCTCTGAATCGTCGAGTGACCATTTTCACTCGAAATCGAAGTAAACCTGACGTGCTACACCGTCGCGGGAACCTATTCGCTGTAATCGATTGAAACATTCGCTCGTATAGAGTTAGAGTCTACTTCGTTTGAGTGAAAATATTCACTCTCTCGAGTGGCAGTACCTTCATTACCGCTTTCAGCGAAAGCACTGCCCACTTTCGTTTAGAGTGAGATTTCACGCCAAGAGATCTAAAGAGCACCCCGAGCTGGGTCTCGCAGTCTCCCAAACGCGTGCGACAGAGTTACCCGCGAGGATCCGCGCAACTGTCCGGGGTCGTACGCTTTTGAGCATTCGTCCGAGAACACGGCGCGATTTTCTCTACGCGGAAGAGAGAGACGGGAAGGTGAACTTCTCCGCGAATATTCAACTGGTACCTATCCCCCGTCAACTTTACAGCCTCGAATCCTCGTTCCGTCTGTCGATCAGCGCCTCGCCGACACGGTTGCCGCAACGTTCTGTTTTTTCCTCGCGAAACACGTCCAGCTCGCGCTATAATCACGAGACCCATCAACGTCAGCACGCTCGCGTGCACGCTCGCGTCGTCGGCCACGTGCGAAGCGCGTTCGCGCTAGACCATGCGCCAAACCGGCGCGTAAAATCGCGCGAAAAAATTCGCGGGTCGGTAAATATAGCGCAGTAGGCGCGACAGCGTTTCACGCGCACACTATCATTCACACCACCACTGGCCAGCCACGTGCATCACACGCCAAGGGCCGTTCATATGCGCGATGACACGTGTAGTGTATCTGGTTTCGCGGCGCGACGGCGACGGCGGGCGACGTAGATGGACGGCGACGACAGCCGCGCTCTCGCATACTCACGCACGCACATGGGGGCGCAGCAACAGCGCCAGGCACGATCAACAGACCGTGACGATGGAGAGCGTGGTCGTCTTCGGCGAGGCGTAGGCGTGAATCGACTGGGAGTATCTCGATTGTCAAATGCGCAGGGGGTCCGTGTGCGAATTCGAGGGCTTGTGTCGGGCCGCGCAGAAGCTCAGGCCGAAGCACAGCATCAGCAACGCCACCGAACCGACCAGCAAATGAGTCGACCAGGACACCGAGCACTTTCCTGAAACAAATGGCATCCGTCTGTCATCGACTCGATTCGACTCGATTCAACTTGACACTCCTCTCCTTATCCCCTTGTGAATCCTAGTCGGGTCACAATCCCGAGGGAATTTCTGCGGGAGATAGCGTGTACGGACGACCTACTAATCGTGGCTTGTGTCACGTAATCATCGGCATGCTTGTTGTCGTTCGATCGGGTTAAAAGCGGATTAAGTGAGTCGCGATGGAGATAGATGTCGATGCATCAGTCTACGGATGTGTTGAGTGACTTCTTGAAGAACAGACAAAACGTCATCTACGTTTCTTTTTACAGAGTTATCGATGCGTCGGGTCACAGATGTGCCAAGTGTCAATAACAGAACTTTTCAGGAGAAGTATTTGGATGTTTGTAACTTTGTGATAAGAAACGTAGACTTCTCTAGGCATATAATACTGGTAAGAAGTTTGAGATCACTGATGAAAATGTTTATCAAGAATAATTGAATCCCCAAACTTTTGACCGATACTGTAGACTACGTTTTGTCTGTTTTTCTAAAAAAGATTACTCTACACATTCGTCAACTAACGCATCGATATACTCTCAAAGTTTCTTGGAACGGAACTCGTTCAGAATGAGTGAAAAATGGCAGTATTTTCACGAAACGGTAGTCAAAACGAAATCGCAAGAGTGAATGTTCCACTCAAGCTCAGAGTGGATTCTGATTCCACTTAAGTGAATATTTTGATCGATTAGAGATATACTCCTATGACGATGAAGTACACCAGATTCATCCTTCAATTTCGAGTGAAAATAGTCAGATAATTTAGAGTGGAGAATCCAGTTTATATGAGTAAGAAATTGTTTGAATTTGAGTGGCTTTGTGGTCACTCTATTTTCTGAGTAAAATTATACTCCAAGAAATTTATAGAGAATTTCTCCCCTCTCTCTCTCTCTCTCTCTCTCTCTCTCTCTCTCTCTGTCTCTCTCTCTCTAAAAACCTACATAATAAATTTACCATAAATTATCTGTAATACATAATAATCTATTGGGAGTAAAAATTAATTCGGTCCGTTTTTTTGTGGTCAAAAATGCATTTATTTCAGAACAAAATGAATGAACAGATTAATCAAAGTATTGTCCATCGCTGGCTACTACTTTTTCCCACCTCTCAGGCAATTTTCGAATTCCATCTCGAAAAAATGTCTCGTCTTTTGAGGCGATTCAAGTTAGAAGCCAATTTTCGATTTCTGCGAAAGAAGTAAACCGGTGACTTGCCAAATCGTGTTGCATCCGTCGGAACAACCAGTAATCAGAAGGAGCAATGTCCGGCGAATACGGCGGGTGCGGTAAAATATCCCACTTGAGCGTTTCCAAATCATTTTTTACGACTTTTGCGACATGAGACCGAGCGTTATTATGCAGAAGAATAACTTTGTCATGTCTTTGCTCATATTCCGGCCGTTTTTCTCGTAATGCACGGCTCAAACGAATCAATTGTTGCGTAACTCCCAATGATTCTGCTCCTCTTGCGTTTGACTCGGATCTTCATCGAGTAATGCTTCCAATTCTTTGTCTTCGAATTTTTTTGGCTGTCCAGAGCGAGGCTTGTTTTCAACGCTGAAATCACCATTCTTGAAACGTCGAAACCATTCCCTACATGATTTATCAGTTGGAGCATTGTCACCATAAACTTCTACAAGCATTCGATGCGCTTCAGCTGCACTTTTCTTCCAATTAAAGCAGAAAACTAAAACCTCCCGCAAATGCTGCTTAGTTAACACAAAATTTGACATATTCAACACAGTAAAAAACAGGGGTTTTGTATGAAACTCAAAGCGATATAAACTGAATATTATTGACAGATGTCTAACCTCTCTGAAACCACCGAAATCAGCTGTCACTATGAAACATTCATAACAGCCAGAGCTATCTTTTGAAAACGGACCGAACTAATTTGTACTCCCAATATAACAAATCTGTCTATCTATCTTATATCTATTTACTTATATCTATTTGTCTGCCCGTGAAATGCGCGTGAGACGTTAAAAAGACCGTCTGAGAGAATAGCTGCTGGGGAAATGGAGAAACTGAGAGGCGTCGCGTCATCGAGACATTCAGCGGGCGACTCGTATCAGGATACCGAATACTCCCCTGAAACAGATGGCAGCCGTCTATCATCGACTCGACGACCCCATCGTGAAAGCCCGACGCATCAGCACCGCCGGGAATTCGCCGGAGAATAGTTCGGTGTCCTAATCGTCGCGCTGAGCTCGAATATAATCGCTTAATCAGTGCGCCGAGTAGATTACTAAGTAAACCGGGGCGGACGAGCGAGATACTCAGCGAGAGACACGCGAAAAGGATAACGATTGTCGGACTGAAATTCCAACGCGCGCACAAACGCGACGCCGAAATGATACCGATACCAATCAATGCCCAAATTATAATTTGAATGCGATTGCAAGCGCCGATTAATCGAGTGCGATTTGGAATAGGCGCGATTGATTTACCGTTACTTTCGCATCGCTCGCAGTTATCCCCGCTTTGGCTGTTTGCAGAATTAATATAAATGAGCCTGTGACACAGAGAGTGCATAAAGGGATATCGCTTAACCGGCGGCTGAACGCGCCGCCGAAATATATGCGATCTGTCCGTCATTGGTCTTACGTCGGTTTCAGCCACCAACCGGTCTATTCCCACGGCACTCACCTGGGGACGCTTGTCAGCCGTGCGTCGAGTATTATGGATTACGCGTTTCGGATGAATATTCGACGACCCTGCGACTCTCCCACGGACGCGAAAAGTAAACGCAGCGGCTACGGAAGTCGCGTCAGTCCGCGAAACGTCCCGTATTTCCGACTCTGATCACGCCCGAGTCGAAATCTTAACCTTACTTTCGACTTCGACTTTCCAACATCTGTACATCGAGAAAAAATGATCTGGTATTTGTAAGCATAATTACATAGAGAAATAATGACTGCAAATAATGATCGGGAAAATGATGTTTTATTAAATTCCATTGTAATGTTAATAATAATAATCTTATATGCATGTTACTACTATTTTATTAACAAATTAATTGGAGGTTTAGAACAGTCGCCCGGCAAGCGAAAGACCCGAGTTCGAGTCCCAGTCTAGCAAAACCGTACTCTCGATATTTTTCTCTTTCTGGAACGAAAAAGATACGCAGATCTCGAACGCACGGCGTCCCGCCGCCACCTAGTATGCCCTCCTCCTTCTATGGTGGATTCCCCATGGCGCATTGCGTCCAAGCACTCGGGGACTGCCAAAAAATTGGTGTCAACCCCGGGGCTTATTTGTATTATTTGCACCGGATGAGGAGGGGCAACGGAGACGGGCATACATGGACAGCAGGTCTTAAAGGATAGCAACCTTTGACTTTGAAAGGCTGACAACTGTACCACTTGATATATTAATAGTAATATTGACTAAGTTTACACGGCAACTTAAAACCGGTTTAGTAACTACCGTAGTTAGTAAACTCTTGAATCTGATTGGAGTATATTTCTAAATCCAAAAGAATACAGTCGGATGCGAGAGTTTACTAAATACGGTTGTTACTAAACCAGTTTTAAGCTGCGGTGTAAACTTAGTCATTGTTTCTCTCTGTAGTCGCCGTGTGCTCGGGATCGCGCCAGAGATGTCGCTTTCAAATGGCATCTCTGAGCGTTATCTAGGGAGAGGAGAGTGTCGTGAGCGTCAGGTAGCTCAAAGTGATTTAGAGCAGTCGCCCGGCAAGCGAAAGACCCGGGTTCTCGAATCTCGGTCTAGCAAAACCGCGCTCTCGATATTCTCCTCTCGCTGGAACGAAAAAGATACGCAGATCTCGAACGCACGGCGTTCCGCCGCCACCTAGTACGCCCTCCTCCTTCTATTATTAATAAAAGATTAGTTGGAGTGACCAAATATTGTTATATACGATATCTGGTCGATATCGATACTACAACGTCAATAACTTAAAAATTACTCTGTGATCAACCACACAATCAGTTGTTTTATATTTTATTATTGAATCTAGTTGGTACAATCAGATTTATGCATGGACTAAGTATGCTGTTTCTTTCCGTGTGGGTCCTAAAGAGGAAAAGCTAGTAGGTTCAATAAGATCAAAAGAGGTTGATACAAAACTTGAGAATATCAAAGCGGATGTTAAAAATGAAATATTGAGGTCGAAAGCAGAATCAAAATCTCGATTCGAGCGGACGTGCCTCTTGTTTCTCACTGCGTGTGAATCGACTTGCTCGCGCGATTCGCGAGAACGTTTCCGAGCTACGGAAGCCGAAGACAAGAGAATCCCTGCCGTGGCCGACGTAAGAAGCGGCATTTCCTCGCACGCCGGTTCTATTGTATATATTTGCGCGGCAAATTTACCGCGGATGCGCGCATCGCAGGAGACGCACATTCGCAGCACGGTGGCAAATCCGCAGCAAATCAATAACAATCTCCCGGGTATTGAGAGGTAAATCGGCGGATCGCCGATGTCGAATCAGATCGTTACGAGCACGCTGGGAAATTACGGGGAAATCAGGAACTGTGTTGCGGGAGCCGGGCGGGGCGGATGACGACAAGGACGACGACGACGACGAGGATGAGGATTGCGGCGCTCCTGCGAAGTTACAAGAGCCATAAGTCTTGACTGGTTTACGTAAAGTCCCGGAATGGCTGTAGGTCGTTGAGCGCTCGGTAAAACGCTCCGGGAACTCGCCTGTGAAAATGCGGAAACTTCCACACTACCTATCCCAGTCTGTCGTACTCGTCGTCGTCGTTGTGGTCGTCGTCGTCGGCGTTACGTCCGTAAGAGTAATCACGCACAGACGCGCGTCCGCGGATTTCAGCGGTGGCGGCATCGGAACGGCAATTTCTCGTTGAAGACGTCGTTAAACTAGGAAACGAGCAACCAAGACGCGAGTCCGCCGAGCGTTAATTAGTTATCGAATTAGATCGATAAATGCCGCCGTATTCCGGCGGAATTGAGTTCCGGCGATTCCATTCGCTCGTACAACGCCGTCGCCCCCTCTCCCCCCCCCCCCTCTCCGCC